TGGCAACATAAAATATTGTTCTATCTTACAATTCTGAACCTGGCTCGTTTTCTCCATGAGGATGCTTGTAGACACCCCATTTTTGACCAACCTTAAGACTCAGACGTCATCGTTTGTGCACGCGATGATTGCGCATGTTTGTGCTTGTTTCGAGTGCCCGAAGGTCTCGCTGAGTGCCTTGTCTCGGAGTCTCTTAACTCTCTTCTTTTGGCCTTGTTTTTGGACCGAACCTTGGTACCTTTTCCTGGAGGGAGACAGAGGCCTGTAGGCCACTTTTTGTAGCTGTAGGCTACTTTTCTCTCTTGTAGGCCACTTGCGGTGGCCGGTAGGCTAGTTTCGGGAGCTTTCGGCTGGGTGCTTTGTCTTGGGGTCTCTTGGATCCCTTCCTTTTGGTTTGTTTCTAGACCATACCTTGTTGCCTCTTGCCTAGGGGGGGAGAGGGCCTTGCCGGCCACTTGTGGCACTTGCCGGTCACTTTTCTCCCTTGCAGGCCACTTTAAATGGCCGACCAACTAGTAAAGTGGCCGGCTGGCCACCTTAATTGGCCGACAGCCACTTTTTTCTCCTTTTTAGATATTTTCAGATATTTTCAGCCAACTGTGGCTCACTGAACTCATCCTCCATACACGTGTATGGAGGGATTGTTCAAGCTTTTTGGCTTGCTTGCTCTATAAAAGGGGAGCTTCCTCCCCCTTGATTTTGGTTAAGAAAATCTCAGAGCTAAAAAATCTCCCTCTCTCTCTAGAATTCTCACTCCCTCTCCATATTGTGTCATATTGAGCCTTGAAGTGTGTTTTCTTCATACTTTTTCACACAAACACCTAGTCAAACACCTTCATTTTGGAGCTGAGGTCCCTTAGAGCTTGTTTTGAAGTCTTAGGACTGGTTTTAGCTCAGAGGAGTTGCTGTTCTTGCTGTTGTTCTTCAAGGGTAAGCATATACCCCTTTTAAGCTTTGTTTTGATTAATAACTTAATCACCTTTGCATGCTACTTTAAGGCTGGTTTTAGCCTCTTAAAAACTCTAATTTTAAGGCTTTAAAATGTGGGTTTGAGTCTTGTTTGGTTAGGGAATGTTTCCCCACTTTTGCTCTATGGCTTGTAAAGCCTCTTGAGCCACCATTCTTAGCCTTTGTTGTGACCATTGTTTGGCCTTTCTACCACTGAAACTTAGAGGAATTTCAGTGGTAGAAAGTTGGTTTTGAGGCTCAAAATGAGAGGGGGTGGTCCCCTCTCTTTATGTCTTGTTTGTATGCATAGAGGGCCTACCAAGTGAGCATGTATTTCTCCCTTTTTGAAGCTTAGTCCAAGCATGTTTTTGTGACTTTTTGGACCTGCCATAGCTCAGTTTTGGATTGGTTTGGCCTCTTGTTGTTTGCTTTTTGCACTTGTAGTGTAAACTTGTTTATTAGCCTAACATGTTTCATGAGTTAGCTTGTTATTCTAGCATGTATTGGCTTCACTCCAGCATGTTTTTGGTGTTATTTTGACATGCTTTAACTCTAATTTTAGTCGGTGGGGTCACCTCTTGCTTGGTTTTTGTACTTGTAGTGCAATCCTCCTTGTTGGCCTAACATGCATCATGCTTTATGCCTCTCATTCTAGCTTATGTTAGCTCCATCTCAGCATGTTTTTGCTATTATTTTAGCATGCCTTAGCTCTATTTTGAATGGTCTTGGCCATGTGAGCCTTGCCTTGTAGGGTTGCAGTGTAAGTGGCTTTGACTAGCTTTGAGTGTCAAGTCCCTAGCATGCTATGTATGTGATGTTTGCATGCCCTAAACTCATTTCTCACATGATTTCAGTGTATATGGTGTAGTCACACTCTCACATATTCCACTCCTTCATAGCTTTTGTGAGTTGTGCCTTATGCTTTGTTTATGAGCCAATATGTATGCATGCTTGTCTAAGCTTTTGGGCCACCATTTCAGCATGTTTAGGCCTCTGTTTTGGCATGTTTAACCTCTGTCCAGGGTTGGTTTTGTCATTTGTGCTATGTATTGCATGCTCCTTGGGTAGTGCTCTTTACTAGCTTTATGCTTTAGGCCTTTTAGCATGCCTTATTTGTGATGTTTATGTGATATGGCATCATTTAACACATAATTTCAGAGCATATAGCCTTGTCATGCTCTCATGTGTATCACCCTTTGATTGTGTTTAAGATGTTGTACCTTATGCCTTGTTGATGAGCCAATGCATGAACATTGTTTTCTTGCCTTTCATGCTATCATTTCAGAGCATTTTGGTCACTGTTTTGGCATGCATGAGGGCTGCTTAGGGCTGGTTTAGTCCATTGAGCAATGTATTGCATAGTCCTAATGTTGTGTACTTCATTAGCTTTAATGCCTAAGTCTTCTAGCATGTCATGCATGTGTTGTTTGTGTGTTAGATTCTTGTTTTAGCATGCCACTTTAGCATTGAAAGATGAGCATGTTGTTTGCATTGCATTGTGTTTGGATCAGACGTTAATCCAAACACAAGGAATGTGGCACGTTTCATACTCAAAGTGATGAAACGTGTTGCATTTCTCGGTCCCCGACCCTCTTGACCATGCATGATAGAGGTGGAGGCTCTTATGTGTTGTTTGTGTATTCACTAACATTGTGCGAGCTTGGCTCTTTGGCCATCATGCACTGAGATGCGTGATTGGTGGCTTGAGAGCCGAGTACTATGCTCCTTTGAGCTTGAGAAATGATAAGGAGAGTAGTTGCACACACATTTTTTTGCAAATGCATTGTTGTGCCTTTGTTATTCTCTGTTGCAGCAAAGTTGAGGTTCTGGAAGGGAAGTGGCTGGTCGGCCACTTGCACTAGCCTGCCGACCACTTAAAGTGGCCGGATGGCCAGTTGAGGTAGCCTCCCGACCAGTTAAAGTGGCCGGCCGGCCACTTGCAGCAAATTTATCCAGAATGCTCCTGTTTTGGGGCGGATGCAAGCTGAAAGTGCGTTCGATGTTCTGAGGTCACCGTGAGTGCAAACAGAGACAATTTATGGCATGGCAATGCACTTCCGGGCGAAGCAGATCGAGCATGCATATCTCCCTCCCCTTGAGGCCATTTTAACTGCTTTGTTTAGTTAGTTAATTTGTCGGTTTCTGTAATTAATTAGTTGATGTGTTTAGCTAATTTAATTCATTATTGTAATTTTCTAATTAGCTTACAATAGCTATTTTCAATTTGGTTTGTAATAATTAGTTAGCTAGAGTTAGTTAATTAATTGGTTTGTAATAGTTAGCTTAATTAGCGTAGCTAGTTAGCTCTCTTTCATTCGGACCCTCCGTCGAGAGGGCAAATGTTGTAATAAGTGTGCGTGTGTGTGTGAATGTCTTCCAACCCCACGTCTTTCTCCCTTTTATTTATCAGCTTTTGATGGTTAGTTTTAGGGCATGTTTCAATTAGCATATTTATGCTTTCATTGCTGGAAAGTTTACATTTAGTGGCGTTTAAAAAACGCCGCTAAAAGTATAAAAAACGCCGCTAATTCTTTTTGTGACGTTTAGTACCAAACGCCGAAGATGCGGCCGTCGCTGTAACATTATGACGTTTTAAAAACGTCGCTAAATTAGTATAGGCGGCGTTTTTAAAAACGTCTGTAAATGCCATAAATAATGGTAAAATGACGTCATCCAATATTTAGCGATGTTTTAAAAACGCCGTGATAGATTTTTTTCTATTTTAAAAATATGACCGTTGGCACCGTAATGGCGTTTTGGAAAAACGCCGTTATAGCTCTTTTTTTTTTTGGAAATTGTGCTAAATCTGTTATATTTAACTAAAAAACATACCTGTAATAAAGCTGAAAAATAACAATAATATGAATAAAATTTTACCGCTATTTCAATATATTGACTAAATAAACATTACATGATTATTTCTAAACCAAAATCAAACAACAAACACAATCAAAAAAAAAAAAATATCGAACTCCAGATGTATGCATGAGCGATCAGACTCGAGTTTGTGAAGTTCTCTCTAAATAGCAACATTAACTCTTCAGGCAATACAAAACACTTAAAGGTCGGTAAAAAAATAAACAGTAATAATAATGACAAAAAAAAAACTCTACCCTTAGTATCTATGTACATCCACTCAAGCTATAAAAATCAGAATTGAATATATGAACCTTGCTATTCTTCAAAACAAATTTGGATTTTGTTTGTGTCACCAAATCAAGCTTAGCTTTTGCAGTGTAACTTAGTCACTAGGTTCTTCACTGCATCATTCTGAAATTCCAAAGACAAATGAAACACTGAAACTCCATAATAGCCAAAAGGATCATGAAATGGTATGTCCATACCACATTTTCTAAACCCTTAAATATGTTCAAAAGTTCAGACCAAAATCAGTGGAACATAAATATACTTGTGCCCAAGGCATAACATAGAGATATATGGTGAATTGTCCAAGCCACATCCACATAAGCAAGCAACGGAGCAAGAGAAGCATTATCTAGTGAAAATATTCTAAATGATGGAGAAACCTCCCTTCAGGTAGAAACACTCATGCAAAATACAATCACATGACATGACCAACCAACAGTGCTTGGGATATAATCATACACATAAACAAAGGTACACAACAATAATGTGATCAATTATTTATTAGAAACAGAATAATATAGCATACTTCAGTTTTTCGTTTTATTTTTTCCCCTATAATTTGGAAGGTTTGGGAGGAGTTCAGTTCATGCTAATGAAAATAGCTAAGAAAAGAAAAAAGTGGGGCGCGAGATTTAATAACAAACAAACAGGGGGAAAGACTTATGGAAATTCATTTTCTAATTAGTTCTCTTCACTTGTAAACATCAAAATCTTCAGGTCCATATAATATTATCAAACGTCTGAAATATTTCTTGAGGTTCTCACTGCACTCATCCAAGGCCTATATTTGGTGAAAAGAAAAAGGAAGAGATCACACAAATCACTTACTACCAAGAGCAAAATTGAGTAGCTGCTCAAAGCTCATCATTTCCATAACAAGGATTGAAAAACATCATCTGATGCCATCATTTATTGAAAGCATCAATACAAAAATCATCTTGACTAAACAATTTCAAAAATTTATTGCCATTAAATTCTAAGAAGAATGAAAACTTTTGCAAATTTATCAACACGAGGAAACAATGCATTTTGCATCTCCTGTTGGTCTCAAGCATATGATTCTTGGGATCCATGTGACAACATACAAAAGTTAGACAGCCTCGCTTATGGCCCCATATTAATGTGCATGAATTCCCAGTAAGTTGAAATAATGAATAAAAACCTACCTCATATAGAGTGAGATCGCTTCCTCCAGTTATGTTCCAGACTATCCCAGTAGCTCTTTCTATACCAATATCTAATAAAGGTGATTGAATGGCATTCAATGCAGCATCTCTTGCCCTGGTCTTGCCTGCAAAGGAATAAGAAACGAACAATCTATCAATATAAGCATGCATGTCAACTTCTTTCTTGTACCCAAAAAAAATTGGTCTACTTTCCTCATCTTCCTAATTTGATCATGCTACGAGAAAAAACCAGAAATTTCAGACATTAAACATAAAAATAAAGTTAAAAGCAGGAAAAAAAAATATAGAAAACCAACAATTCCGAAAATATCATGCAAGTAAGAACTCAATCCTCCCTCCTGTATTAACCCGTACTAGCTCTATCTTCATTCTTTTCTTGAACCTCCTTTGCTCCTTTCTTGAGATCTATAAAGCATTTGGTAAATAGAAAAAAGTCAGCAAATAAAGATCCACTTAATTTACCAGTTGCAATTCCTATTCCCATTAGAAATGACCCTGCATTTTCCATGATAGCTCGCACATCTGCAAAGTCAACATTAACCAAACCTGGGACCTGCAGTTGAAGTAACCTACCACCAATTAGAAACTAATACATTTAATGGTAACCTACAGAAATCAAATAAATTTCAAATACTCACAGACTAACCAACAAAGAGACATAAACACAATGTAACAATGAGATGATGTAATAAATGTCTGTTACCTCCATTTTCTATCATCATCTAGAGGCACTGAACTGCTCATTTCCTTTCCAACACGCTTGTCAGGCAGGGTTTGCTTATGTTCACTATCAGATGTGTCCTCGTTCCTAGAATCCTTGTTAATCAAGGCATACAACCTCTCTCCCAAGGAAGCCCTATTCGCATTGGTGGTAGACTTCCCAACTTTTGTTGCAGATCCACTCACTGTTCACAATGAAGAAGATCAAGAAGAGCGGCTAGAAACAAAAGGTAGAGAAGATCAAGAAGAGCTGCTAGAAACAAAAGAGCACTTACAAGCAATATATCAAAATACGGTTTGCAATAAGACCTTCCCAAGCCCTTTGTACGATGCCCTGATCCTCATCATCTTCAAAAGCAATCTTCCTGATCAAAGTAAAGCAAGCATCAACAGCTACAAAATAGTAGCTAAATTTATACAAGAAGATTTCATGATGACGTTCAAAAATAAAATAAAAAAACAGTAAAAGAAAACAGTAAAAGATAATGCTTTTGAGAAATGTATAACACAAATTAAGCATGTACATACAGAGGAATTTACACCCCACCACAGAAAAAATCAATGCTTACAAAATTTAAGCAATTGAGCAATTCCTGAGGATACTTTCAACATCATATGTTTAATTGGCTAATCAATATATGAAATCACTAGGTTTTGGAGTTACCATTTCCAGAACAGGACAAATTGCAAGGTTTGACTAGGATGTACTAGTTATCCCAAAAGTTCCGTAGTTGTGACATGTGCAAAAGAAGCTCGTCTCTGCCCAAACTAGTGTTACTGCTGGTCATTATCCATGCAGGATGCTCCCAGTAATTTTCTCTCATCAGCTCTTGAAAATTTTTGATGTTCTCATCAGGCCTTTTCCCTTTACCCTTCATCTTGTCGCATTTTGTGAAAACAAAAGTCATTGGTATCTGAAAGATGAAGGCACAAAAGGGCATAAAATTCAAGGGAAAGGACAGGATTTAGCCTCATACCATCGATAGTATTGCTGACAGAAAGAGGATCGGAAAGTAGCTAAAAATTAGATAAGAGCATACATTGTTCCGTCCAAGTCAATTAGCACAGTCAAGGTCGATCTTCTGAGGTGGTACACTCGCATCAATTAGAAGTAGGACGGCAACCAGAGTTTCTCTATTCAAGAAGTAGCTCTTGGTGAATGCGGACCAATCCATTCGAGCAGATCCTGGGGCATTAGCAAAGCTGTAAACAAAGTGAAATCTAATAAGATTTAGAGCTAACTTGCATGGCATCAACTCAACTGCAAGTATTCCATGATGCCACAAGGAATCAATAAGTTAATTTAGAGGTGTTAATGGCAAAAAGGGGTAAAACTAATTGCCCTTATCAGATCTTTACCCCTCCCTTAAAACTTAAACCATTGCTACTAAACTGACTAAAAATTATTCTAATTGCTGACCTGCAGAATTTACATAAGAAATCAAACAAGATTACAAATTAAACAAAATTACACAAAATGAATATCATAAGATCATCATTTTTACAACTTATTAACTACTAAACTTGACAGTCCAAATAATGTAACAGTGTGCTGGAGCATCAATTTCTGTGTCCTCATCCACAAAATAAATTAACTCTATTCCATTATAAACAGGGTATGATAGATTTCCAGAATATAAATAAAGGTTTTCTATTTTCTATATTTAAAAAAAAAATTAGTCACAAGATAAATGGTTACCGAACAGAACCCCAACAAGAGTATTTGCACACTTACCCTGGGAAGGACTGCACTAAGTAGGAGAACTACTAAATTTAACTGCCACTAAGCCACAGGCATAAAACTGATCTCATCATTTACAAAATCAATCCCCTTTTGACTGTACAAGACTATAAAAACAAGACAAACAGTCCAATTACATTTCCACTTGCAGATTGACCCATTAATTTGTGGTGGGGTGTAAATTTTGTCCCCCTTCTCTCATTCCATTTTCTTCCCAAATCATGCTACATTCTTGTATAAGATGAAGGAACAAAACAGTAAAAGAAAAACCAGTATAAAAACCTTAAGCCATGATTAACCCCGTGAGCATCCCTCAGACCGACTGCATAAAATTGATTGATCAACTGACAAAGTACAACCAGTTCTCAGATGCAAATAATGGGATAACCATACAGCAATCCTAATCAGAACTTAAAAGTTAAGCTTCTAGCACGTTTGGATAACATAATTTCCAAAACTTATGGAAAACTGCTAAAGTCGATAATCTGAGAAAAAAGAGGATGCCATTTATTCCTCCCTAGATTCCAAGGCAGTAGCACTATCTAGGAGCAATTATTATCAATAAAGGAAGTTCTTCATCGGATAATGTTTAACACTAAACTTACTAATAAGCCTCATATAAAGATATAGATGGATTGCTGATTGAGCCCTTATGGGAGTCAACACTTAAACAATGATTAGATTTAAAACACAACTTTTTTTTTGATCGGCAATGAAGAATTTTATTGACTAGCAAAAACAAACTACAAAGAGAGGACAAGGAATCTACTCCAAAAACCAACAGCCATTACATCAAAACAAAAACACCATTTAGATTTAAAAACACATTTATGTTGGAAATCTGAAGACTAACAATCCTTAAGTAGGCATGTGTGTAATCTCAAGGAATCATACGAGTACACACTTCTACACTAACCAAGCATTACACACTTCTACACTGTCAATTCTCTAATTATGTGTAACGCCCTCAAAATAATACAAGATAAACTCGCATTCTTGACATGCATAGACATAAGAGGATAAAGCATATTTCTATTTATCAGAGTATTCATTACAAAAGTATGATATGTTGACATCAAAAGTAAATTGCCCTACGGGTTTACACCTTTCCAAACCAACACTTGGTTACAAAGAAGAGAGTACTAACTCAAAACGCAAAATAAGCCCTTGGCTTGATTTACACACAAAATAATCACAACAGGAAGCCTTCAGCTTCGACAACCTCCCAAGCTACATCCTTGGAGGTGGCATATCACCTGGACCTGAAAATGATGTCCCATATATGGTGAGCCAACGCCCAGTAGAGATATGCTAAACATAATATGAGCAATAACTAAAACTCAAGCATTCAATAAATGTTTAACTCATATAAACAAAAATCCGTCACTTTCCATTTCATTAACCAAACCAATTCATAGATATGATTCACCATTCATCCAGACAGTTCGTAATGAGACTACAACTCATGTCAACAATACTTCGATTATGATCAATTAATATGAGACTATAACTCATATAATTAACACATCAACACTTGTATTTCAAATGAGATTACAACTCAAAACTCATATTAAAACACTTCATACTTCATAAATGATACACAGATTTGCTGTATCAATGGAGTCCATCCCCTATCTCCTCCTAAATAAAATTCGGTTTAGGGGTCCATCCCCTATCTCCTCCCAAACCGTGGAGTACATCCCCTATCTCCTCCCACACCCACACAATACAATGTATATAAATAATTATCATATACACGATCAATCAATACACAAATTCGATGTATTATTCCAACCATCATATTCAATGACATATTCAACCGATTAGTTTTATTTCACCTAATCATCATGTAGTGTCTACAACAATCAATAAGCTCATTTTAAGACCCAAGATATACATATATTGGTCAAAATAGCAAAACCCCTCTTTATTCAAGTTGAAACCCTAACACCCAAAATCACCCAACTTTAACATTAAATTAAAATGACCAAAAGTTTATGTCAAAGATCATAAAAATGAGTAGTTATCCCTACCTCAAATGGAGAGACCAAATGGAGAAGATGAAGGATTTCAAAGCCAATAATTTTCGAATCAAAATGAAGAGCAAGCCATCCCTTCCTCTTCCTCTTAAGATTTCTCTTTTGTTTTCCTTCCTCTCCTTTAGTCGAATGTGTGTGTGTGAGAGTGTTACTAGTGTTTGCCATGCTAGGGAATGGTGATATTTATAGGCAAATCTGGTGTAACATGGCATAGAAGCCCACTGGTTAGAATTGAAAAGTCAAGTTAGGATTTATTGGTTCATTAAAGCCCACTAATAAATACTAGTTGGATTATGAAAAGACACTAGTTGGATTATGAAAAGACACTAGTTGGATTATGAAAAGACACTAGTTGGATTATGAAAAGACACTAGTTGGATTATGAAAAGACACTAGTTGGATTATGAAAAGACACTAGTTGGATTATGAAAAGACACTAGTTGGATTATGAAAAGACACTAGTTGGATTATGAAAAGACACTAGTTGGATTATGAAAAGACACTAGTTGGATTATGAAAAGACACTAGTTGGATTATGAAAAGACACTAGTTGGATTATGAAAAGACACTAGTTGGATTATGAAAAGACACTAGTTGGATTATGAAAAGACACTAGTTGGATTATGAAAAGACACTAGTTGGATTATGAAAAGACACTAGTTGGATTATGAAAAGACACTAGTTGGATTATGAAAAGACACTAGTTGGATTATGAAAAGACACTAGTTGGATTATGAAAAGACACTAGTTGGATTATGAAAAGACACTAGTTGGATTATGAAAAGACACTAGTTGGATTATGAAAAGACACTAGTTGGATTATGAAAAGACACTAGTTGGATTATGAAAAGACACTAGTTGGATTATGAAAAGACACTAGTTGGATTATGAAAAGACACTAGTTGGATTATGAAAAGACACTAGTTGGATTATGAAAAGACACTAGTTGGATTATGAAAAGACACTAGTTGGATTATGAAAAGACACTAGTTGGATTATGAAAAGACACTAGTTGGATTATGAAAAGACACTAGTTGGATTATGAAAAGACACTAGTTGGATTATGAAAAGACACTAGTTGGATTATGAAAAGACACTAGTTGGATTATGAAAAGACACTAGTTGGATTATGAAAAGACACTAGTTGGATTATGAAAAGACACTAGTTGGATTATGAAAAGACACTAGTTGGATTATGAAAAGACACTAGTTGTCATTAAATGAACACTAATAAGGATATTAAATGAACCACTAATAAGGATATTAAATGAACAAGTTTGTCATAAAAGCCTACTAATTGGAATTTGAAAGGACAAGTTTGAATATGAATGGACCATTATGAAAATTTAATGGACACTAACCCTTGGTTTCCAACCACAATCAACTTGTTTTCCCAAACACACCCAACCTGTTTCAAACCTGCCCAACACGACCCAAGACTCATATACAAAGAGTAAAGGATGAAAACAGGAATAAGACAACAACACATCCACGGAACTGAGTCCGAAATACAATTAAACAATGAAAGGAAAACCGGGATCGCTATAATTCAACACAATTCAACACAGCCAACACACTTTAACATAATCAACACAATTCAACATAATCACCACAATTCAACTTGATTCAACTCAACACCACTAAATATAATTCAACATAATTCAAGATGAACTCTTAAATTTCCATTTCATCCCAAGGCACATGTCATCCATATAATTAACTAATCCTTTTTCCCAAATTTCATTTCAAACCATAGCATGATTTGCAATATCCATAATAAAGGTTCAATCGCTAATTTTTAACCTAATTTTCAAACACATCCAAAATCCAATTAAACTTGTATAAATATAATTCAATACCTCAATTTTCATAGGAATGAAGTGTGCCGACTTAGTCAACCGGTCTACAACCACCCAAATAGCATCACTACCCCGCTGAGTCCTCGGAAGACCTACAATGAAGTCCATAGCGACATGCTCCCACTTCCACTCGGCAATAGGCAAGGGTTGCAACAAACCCGCTAGCCTCTGATGTTCGGCCTTCACTTGTTGACAAGTAAGGCACTTAGGCACGAAAACTGCC